TGTTGTATTTGGACATGCTTTGTCAGTGTCATTCAAACTTGGTACATAGATTATACATGTTAGGATACATATCCATGACAATTTATTTCGCAATTGGATCAAAGATGGCCGACCAGCAGGCAACTTGTTTTTTTTTATGTGGTATCTTGGACGTGCTCTGTCAGTTTTCATTCAAATTTGGCACATACATGTACTTTTAACATGTTAGGATGCATGTCCATGACAATTTGTTTCAAAATCTGGTCAAGGATGGCTGATTGACAGCCATCTGACTTTTTGGCCTTACTACTATATTTCCACAATTTATGTACCATTTTCATTTGTATTTGGCACATACATCATACATATCAGTGTGTTTTATAACCAGATCAAAGATGGCCGAATAACGACTTTTTTTATTTTTGGCCATATTACTACTACACGGAACACGTGTTTTGATGTAAATAAACAATCTGTTGTATACGCCACTTGGAACTCAAGTATCAAGGACACGCTTGTGACAACCCCTTCGCTTTAATATGACGAGCACAAAGAGAACTTTCAAGAAATTAACAGGGACTGTGTCATTTTCAATGACTTGTTATTTGGGATTTCCATTTCCTAATACATTAGGATGCAGCAATTTACAGTGCTGTATAAGTTCTATTAGAAGCATATCTCCAATAGAAGCACATAAAACCCAAAATTTGTATTTGTTGTATACTATAAAAATGCTACTTATTTTGAACATTGAGACACCTCTGTATATTACATAAGCGCATGCTTTACTTATAGAGCAAATACGTTTCACTGCAACTTAATATACTGTAAAATGACTAATTTTCACTGGGTTTAAATTTCGCTGATTACAATTTAAATTCACGGTTTTATCATTTAGATAATGTGTTCTATGTTAAATTTCACATATTCACTGGGTTTTAATAATAATATAATAATAAATAACTAGCAAAATTAAAACACAGTGAATAATTAACACCTTTACAGTACTGTAAAACCATTTATTTTCACTGACATTTAATGTTCACTATGTTGATGTTTTGAGCATATTCTCTGTGTTTTAATTTCACAAATGATACAATGAGTTTGATTGTTATTTTACACGTTCACATAGATTTTATTTAGCGGATTTTACCTACCAGCCAAAATAGCAAAATGAAAGCCCAGTGAATAATTAATGCATTTACAGTACTTTATTTTCTCTAATAAAAGTGAATACATACCGGTACATAAAAATTGCACTTATTGTGTGCAGAATCATTTAAACATTACTTAGTTTTTTAATACTGTAGATACACCACTGTCATTTATGTAAGCACACCTGCTACAAATAGAGCGAATATAGTAATTGCATTATTATAAATGATTCAAATTTTTTTTTTTAATTTCAGATGTTGAACTAACCATAGAAGATAAATATAAACAAACTATGCATCAAATAGACGCTCTCAAGGATCACCTTGGTTGGTACTTGTTGTCTCAATCAGTAATTGTAGTAACATTTACATTAGTATGTATATAAAAAATGTTTGCTGTTTTTTGCTTTCCTTTCTTAATTATGAATTTCACTCACATTTGAGCCAGAACTGTTAGTGTTCTCCCTAGGCTTTATGTCATTGTTTTCGCTCTGGTGAATGTTTAATGAGCATATTATCAATCAGAGATAGTTTCAATGGTGTGATTATGAGAAAATACTGTACTTTATTTGTTTGCATTGCATGTTTGTGTTATGCAAGTCTATAGAACCATTATAGCCCTTCGGTTTCGATAAAATCTTAATATCTGAAAATAACAACTTCAATGACACCAAATGTCCCAGAAATTACAGAAATACAGACTTAGGACAGCTATGGACCCACAGCTTTGTGAGACCCAAAAAAACAAACAAGTTAACATGCAGCACAGTGACACTTTTTAATATGAATGAAAAATCTAATTTTAGTTTTATTGTTTATTTTTCATTATTAATGTAGCATTCCGCAAGGAGATGGCAAGAAGATCACAAGCTGCAAGTGAGGAATGGAAATCCAAAATGAGAGGTGCAGAAGACCAGTTGGAAAGCCATAAATCAGATCAAAAGTCGGTCACATCAGGTATGCTAATATATGTACACACTTAAGTAGTGATCACTAATGGCAGTAAACTTTTATGATGTCATAATGATTTGTATAGATGTAAGGCACTGTTTAAAATGATATTTGTTTGGTTGTGTAGTGTTTCATCATCAGAAATATAGTAACAACAACGTTATCTTCATTGGTAAATAACTGTAAATGAAAAACTACATCAATGCTTTGAAAGGACTTTGTGCCATCCATTTACATTACAGAAAAACTTCCTCACTAGAGAATGTGATTTATAAAAAAAAGGTGTAATAGACTCAATTCAAAGTCTCTATTGTCCATATACCGAATGCAACAATTTTGCATAATATCTTTGTCAGAAATTGTTAGCAAACAGTCAAACATTGCCAAGCATTTATGTCGGCTGTGTTCATATTTTCAGCAGCTTAGGGCATCAACAAGTCCATCGAATCACACATTTCTCTCTCCCATCTCCCCAAATTATTCAAAGTAGGAGGATTTTTTGGGTTTAAATATACCCATATAAAGATGACCAAATCTCCTGACATATTGAAATATAGCAATATGACCCTACATTTTCAGTGTGTGTAATA